ATAAATTTGTTAGTTTTGAAAAGTAATTATTATATATAGGTTTTGTGTATTTTTCCCTTTAAAAAATTATGTTCAAAGAAGCAAACCCTTTGAGCACACTGGATCATGATATCATATTAACCATCATGGAATTTTTGTTTTAACAATGACTATACATTGGGGGGAAAATGACTCCGAAATGGTTAATTAATCATTAATTACTATTTAAGAAAAATTAACCAACAGTCGACCTTTAAAACTTATTCACGATATTGAATTGATTTTGGAGCTTGACTAAATATTGATTTTGATTTACCAATAAATATGAAATGTAATAAAAAAAAAAAAATATTTGAACCTTTTTACATTAAGAATGAGATAATTCATAATTTAAATAACTTAACATGAAAAAATTAAAATTAAGTAATTATAAAAAATGGGGTTGATGAATTGTAAATGATCAAACCATGTGCAGCCATTTGATTAAGGGTGTGTTTGTCTCCTATTATTGGGAGAAAAATAGAATAATGAATAATATTTCTTGGAAAATGTGTGGTTAAAAAATAAGAATAACTTTATTGGTTAGTGTGTAGAATATTTTATTGGGTGTATGTGTGGTGGAGAATCTTACTGTAGCAAACAATTTTTTGAAATAATGGTAGACAAACAAGGGCTAAAAAGGTTGACTTGATTTTTTTAATTATTATTAGGCCACAATTTGGGCCAAATAATATTGAAATCCTGCTCATAGTGAGCACGAGATGTTTTCCCCACTATGAATAGAAGATCAATCCTGATATATCCAATAGATTGAAGCAACAAATAATTATGAGGAAAAAAAAATCATAATTACACATGTTTAAGAATGTAATTAAAAAGTTAACATATTTGTGTGTGTATGTGTGTGTTTTTTTTAAAAAAAAATCAGATGGTCACATTTGTGATATTTGATAAAATATTGAGACGTATAAATTAAATTAAACACGTCACAATCATAAATCACACAATTTATAAGTAACAATCACATATCAAATCACAAGTCTCACAATTACATACTCCACAATTTATATGGGTGTCAATCTCATATTAAATTACAAAAATATTAAATATTCACATTATCCAGTGATACCTAAAAATTAAAGTAAATATAAATTAATAATTTTTATGTCTACACACTTTCTTTATCGTTTCCCTTCACTCTCTCTTTAATCAAAGATAACAAAATGTAGATATGTTATACTCATCTCAAGATTGGCTTTTTTGAAGTAACAAATTTGAACTCCTTGAAATTTGTATACAAATCAATAGAGCACATTAACAAATTAATCCTAAAAATTTTACATAAATAAGTATAATATTCAAGGTTACTAGCTCGAGTATCTATGTCTCGACATAAAGTTAAGTCAACAATAATTTCTAAACAATTGCAATTTCGTATGGTCAAGTTGCATTTCGCAATCTCTTATAGGGGTTTTGGAGTAATTAGTTGACCTTCAAGTCGTTTTATCCTTTACAACAACTCAATAAATTTGACGTATTGTAAAATATCCATTATGATTCCAGAATGACCTTATTCATTCAAATAACTCAATCAATTTTTTTTCTTTTTTCCTTTTTTTTGTAGAAGGATATATCTTTGATAAAAAAAAAAAAAAAAAGAATTAAATGATTTGGGGGAAAGGTTTGGGCAATTTAAGATCATATAAATATATAAGATAAGAAAATTCAGTTTTGTTCATGATTTGAAAATTCTTATTTTTATTCCTAAATTGAAGCTCAAAAAAGTTAAATATGTCAAGATTGAGAATCTAATACGAGAAAATGACTTGTTGAAACATTCATCGTATTTATATAAAATTGCAATGAAACAACAACAATAATAAATTAAAAAAAAATTGAAAAGTCCGAAATTGTTTGCTATTATCTATCATGTTCTTGTTGTCCAAATCAGACAAAATGACCGTGTCCAAATTCAAAGCAATTCTTAGAGAAGACAATCTCATGGTTTCAAATAGAAAATTCAATTGCCATACATATCCATCAAGAGTTCGAATATCTAAACTTCTAGACATTGGCTCACTCATGTGAAAAACTTAAAAATAGTGGTATGGAAATATTATAGGCTCGAAGTTACCCAGCCTTTTAATAACTCGAACAAAAATCATATTGAAATGCTCGAATCTCTCGACGATGTTTTATGACCATTAACGTAACAAAATTATGGTTCAAGGGCAGGCTTGGTTAAGTGTAGACAGTTTACTTGTAAATACACGAGTAGGATTAAAATAAGTAAATTTTTAGCTACCAAATTAAAAATAAGTTACTTTAATTAGCACTTATTTTTAAATAAGTAACATGCTTGAATTAAGGTTTGTTTGAGATTATTTTTAAATAAGTAACATGCTTGAATTAAGGGTTGTTTGAGATTATTTTTGGCTTCTAAGAGCGCCACTTTAAATTTAAAGATTATTCTAACTAAATAAAATGCTTGCAAAAAATTATTCAAACAAGCTTAAGTAATTTTTATTCTCAAAAATAATTTCCGAATTTTCAAAAACTATACCAAATCGATTCCTAAGTGCTTGACTCGACCAGACGGATGTGAAAGTTAATAATTTATTTTTAAGAATAATGTTATTTATCATTATTATGATTAAACATCGGTGATGGTCAATTTATGTATAATAATGAAATTGAACAGTTTAATTTTTATGAAAAAGAAAGAAATGTGAGATATAATGAATTATTATATCACTGATATTTTATTATCACGTCCATAAATAAAATTATTCTATTTTTAAATACTGGGACACGCAAACACGCGCTTGTCTTATTGTTTGAGATTATTTTTGGCTTCTAAGAGCGCCACTTTAAATTTAAAGATTATTCTAACTAAATAAAATGCTTGCAAAAAATTATTCAAACAAGCTTAAGTAATTTTTATTCTCAAAAATAATTTCCGACTTTTCAAAAACTATACCAAATCGATTCCTAAGTGCTTGACTCGACCAGACGGATGTAAAAGTTAATAATTTATTTTTAAGAATAATGTTATTTATCATTATTATGATTGAACATCGGTGATGGTCAATTTATGTATAATAATGAAATTGAACAGTTTAATTTTTATGAAAAAGAAAGAAATGTGAGACATAATGAATTATTATATCATTGATATTTTATTATCACGTCCATAAATAAAATTATTCTATTATTAAATACTTCCTGTGCGTTTGTGCGCGAACAGAAGAGGCGGTCAATTGACGCGTAGAGGGACCTAGCCAAGTGTCCCAAGAGCACAAATGATCGAAATGACCATAATACCCATCTTTAAATTTCAATAATCAGATTATTCCATGGACATTATAGTCCAAACAAATCCAGATATTCCTGACATTTCAAAGATTTATATATGAAATTAGAATTTGGGTAGAAAACAAGAGACGACTTCCTTTTAATCTTCAAAAACTACCACCCATTCACCAGAAAGAGGCTTCCAATCAAAAGAGCACAGCTTTTTCTGGTTTTAGTTTATCTGTCTGTCCGTTGCATTACATTACATTACATCAATTCTTTTAAATATTTCCTTCAAATTTAATCTTTTTTAATTTCTTTTGCCAATTCTAAGAAATCTTCTCTGGGTAGTCATATATATTTGTCTCTTGAAGTTGGAGATCTCTGCATTCGGCGTGTTGCTGGGTTCTTTAAAGTTGCATTTTTGTGGGATTTTGAAATCAAGTGGTGGGGTGGTGAGGAAGATATGTTGGGTGTATCAAGAATATGGGAGAAAGTGTGTATGATGGCAGAAGGGGGATCTCATTATTGTTCCAAGAAGACCGATGATATTTGTGGTGAGGTGAGCATTTTTTTTAAATTTATTTCCTCTTTCTTGAATTTAAATGTACGGATTTGTTCAATGTTCTGGTTTTTATTTCTAGTAAATCTTGTTGAATTCATGATTGCATATTTGGGATTCTTGGGTATGTTCTAAGCAATTCAATGAGTTTTTTTGTTTCTGTTTTTTTTTTTTGGGGTGCGGTGGGGTTGTGATTTTGCAAATTGGATTTTGACACTTTACAATAGATAAATTTTTGGGGATTTTGGAAAGAAAGTATGGTACTTTCTTTGAAGATTCAGGATCTCTTTCCCTGCTAGTTATTTTTTCTTTTTTACCACGAACGCTTTTGACAGATGGAATTCAAGAAAATTGTTCTTAAGATATGTTATTAGAATAGACTGTGACGAGTTCATGGTTTATTAAAATCCAATTCTGTAATTTGCAAGATATCTCTTGCTGAGATTCTGATATTCTCAATGTAGTGTAGATGTTTCCTCTTATTCCATAATGCAATTGAAAACTTTCTGGATTACAAATATGGATACATTGTTCTTGATAAGCACACGAGCTTCGTTTAGGTCATAACGAATGTGGTATTTTAATGTGCAGGATTCAGGTCGAACATTGAGCATGGCGAGATTGAAGTGTATTCTACGTGGGCTGGATATAAAGGCCTTTATATTTCTTTTCGTCTTGGTACCAACATGTATTTGCGTTATATATTTGCATGGACAAAAGATCACATACTTTTTGCGGCCTTTATGGGAGTCGCCTCCTAAGCCCTTCCATGAAATTCCTCACTATTATCATGAGAATGTTTCGATGGAGAATCTTTGTAAACTTCATGGTTGGGGAACACGTGAGTATCCAAGGCGGGTTTTTGATGCAGTGTTGTTTAGCAATGAGCTGGACATGCTCAAGCTAAGATGGAAGGAATTATACCCTTATGTGACGGAGTTTGTTCTACTTGAGTCAAATTCAACATTCACAGGACTCCCAAAACCTTTCGTCTTCGCTGCTAATCGAGATCGATTTAAGTTTGTCAACTCACGGTTAACTTATGGGCAAATTCCTGGGAGATTTCGGAAAGGTGAAAACCCATTTATCGAGGAAGCTTATCAGAGACTTGTATTGGATTATCTTCTGAAAAAAGCTGGTATTCAGGATGATGACTTGCTGATAATGTCGGATGTTGATGAGATACCAAGTAGACACACTATTAATCTCTTGAGGTGGTGCGATGACATACCTTCGATCCTTCATCTTCGTTTGAAGAACTATCTCTATTCATTTGAGTTTCTTCTCGATGATAAGAGCTGGAGAGCTTCAATTCACAGATACCAATCTGGGAAGACGAAGTATGCACATTATCGGCAATCCGATGACATTTTGGCAGATGCGGGGTGGCATTGTAGCTTTTGCTTCCGACATATTAAGGAGTTCATATTCAAGATGAAAGCTTACAGTCATGTGGATCGTGTCAGATTTTCTCATTATTTGAATCCTAGAAGAATCCAGAGAGTAATCTGCCGAGGGGCTGATTTATTTGATATGCTACCAGAAGAGTACACCTTCAGAGAAATAATCGGGAAAATGGGGCCAATTCCCCATTCATACTCGGCCGTGTATCTCCCTGCATATCTTTTTCAAAGTCCCAAGGAATATAAATTTCTCTTGCCCGGAAATTGCATACGAGAAAGTGGCTGAATTAATGGATACCATATGCGTCCTTTTCATGAATGTTGAGTCCAGCTTTGGCTCCTGGCTACGGAGGATTTTCATTGACTAATTGTTGACTGGGTGTGTTGCTTTTGTAATCATGCTACATGTCAGGTCATATTTATATCATTCTTTTCAAATGTTTCGGGAAAAACTGGACGCATTCTTGGATTTCTAGAGTGTGTTCTTGTATATAACTCGATTTGGAGCTGGTTTTCGCGTATAATAGATAGTTTCTATTTGGAGTTTACGGTGACTACAGAATTGTACTTGGGGGATTGTGTACTTATTTATATTAACGCGATATTATCTGCGAATATCGTGCCCCAGAAGACTCATTATGGTTTATTGGTACCTTCATGTTAGGCAATTTTGATTTGGGACATATTCTATTTGCAAATTGCGTTGCTAACTTTCTGATCCGTGCTCGAGTTTCTTATAGATGTGATGTTTCTATTTTGTCAAAAGTTGTGAGAATTGTTCCTTCCGGCATTAATGTTCTATTAGCCCCATCCCTTGATTGTTATTTACATCTTTGGCAGGGTAGTTGCTGAGAATCGATTTAGGAGTCTTCAACTGACTTATTGACTATTTGAAACACCGAGTGCATGTTTGTTACACTGGAGTGGTAATAGACACGAGTTATATGTCTCATCTATGTTCGAGAGATCTGTCTTCTTTTCTTTAAGTCGTCAAGTTTTGTGAGTTCAGTTGAAATCAGAAATGCTGATGCAGCGTTGCCTAATGGAACATGGGAAACCATCCCATTGCCAAAACATTCATCATGGTCCCTGGGCTGATATCTCCGTATTAGGCAAATTTTGATATTTAATGTGCAGATTCCTCACAAGAAGTAGAGTTGGGTATCAAGTGGTGAGAATCTCTTAAACTCGCTGTAAATGACTGATCACACCATGAAATGTGCAGCATTTGAGCATATTTCTTCATTATGAGATTAGAATCTCAATGCTTCTACAAATAGACATGCAAAACATCCAAGCAATGCGAATTAACTTATAATCAGTTTAAATTATAAATAAATAGAAATGAGTTATGGATAAGTGAGTATTACTTGTAAGTCCTAAGAAATATGTGAATAAAAAGTAGTTTGATCGTTCATAATCAGATTATAAACAAGTGCCAAGCATGCACCGAAGAAAACTCGAAAAGATGAAAGGGCCCCCCTACAATCTGCAACAAGTAGCACTGCAAAGTGTCGTGTCTTGTTCACAAAATATTGTATCCCGATGACTAGCATCATGGAAATTGAGCTTGTCATCAAGTGTCCCTTGTGCTCATGGAAGCAAATGGGATTGACAAAGAACAGTACCAGAACAAGTGCCATGCTGTCTTAACGTCCTTACAATCAGTAATCCCAGTGAAAGGCACAACAAAAATGGATGAATTGTCGACAGAAAACAGAAGGGCATGACAAAGAGCAGCAGGGCAGCAAGAATATGCATTGCCCCTTCAGTGTTGGCTACAACCAGAGTGCATTAAGCTTGTTTAGAGATTTTGGTATGATCTCAATTACTGGCACGACCGAAATGGAGGCCAACATCAGGTGCCCATGTGGACCAAAGGGGATTGACTCGCGTGAGAAAGAGCATAAATGCATTGTATGGATGTCCAAGACTCAAATATCATAATCTATTCGTTGAACTCCCACAATTTTTGCTTCTAAGATCATAAATAAGTAACTGCTTTAAAGAACTTACAGAAAGTTACAAATGTGATAAATTAATGATGTAGGACAACTAGCTTTAGAGTTTGAAGAAGCGCTGGACAAGAAATTGATGAAGAAAGATCGCGTCAGGGGCAATTTGGTCATTTGGCGTGATAGTGTCGGAATGGGCTGAAATTTGGCAGATTGATTGGAAAACGCCTGAAAAATTGGACTCTGGCAGATATCTCGTGATTTTAGCTAAATTCCTTCGTTTAGGCCTTCAAATAATTAATTTCCATAGTTCTAGTTTTAGATTTTCACTATTTTTGGAATGTTTTAATATTCTATATTTTTAAGATTTCTTGTAACGCCTATTTAAAGACTTTTGAACGTTTTTCGGATCATTATTGATTATTATAAAATTCATTTCTTGGTGGATTCCAAATTTGGTTCTTCAGATTTACGTTAGTAAATCTTTGTCTTCCGTTTTGCGTCAAGTGGTATCAGAGCAAAGATTTGCCTTGTTTTTTCAATGGCCAACAACAACGAAGGAGGAAGAGTTAATCATCGCGACGCTGGTCACAGGGATACAAATGCAGATCTGTGGGCAGCAATTGACGAACAGAGGCAAGCGATGCGAGATTGGAGGCTATGGTTCAGCGTCTGTTGGAGCGTCCTCTTGTCCCTGTCGATGACGGCGCCCTCAACCGTCCTGCGGTAGAACGCCCTCGTAGGGTTGCAGAAACAGACCAAATGCTGATATTAGCGATGATGATTCAGAAGAGGAGTTCGCAGACGTTCCTGAAAATCAGTAACAGGGCCGAAATCAGCTCTATTACAGGATCCGCGGAGGCATACCATTGTTCCATGGTAAGTTACAGATCGAGGAGTTTCTGGATTGGATCTCTGAGGTTGAACGATTCTTCGATTTCACAGAGGTCGCAGATGAACGTCAGGTTAAATTGGTTTCATATAAATTGAGGAGCGGGGCTGCTGTTTAGTAGGAACGGTTGCAGATGGATAGATGGCGCCAAGGCAAGACTCTCGTCCGATCTTGGAGGCGGATGAAACAACTCATGATGAACAAATTCTTGGCGTCTTATTACGAACAATTCATATTCCAGAGCTTCCAGAATTGTGTGCAGGGGAACAAATCTGTTGCAGACTATACAGAGGAATGGTCCAGGCTTTCAGTTCGAAATAATCTGAGTGAGTCAGAGGCGTAACAGGTTTCTAGGTGTTTGGGAGGATTGAAGCCATTCATTAGAGATAGAATTGGGTTACAGGTGGTTTAAACAGTTGATGAGGCACATAATATGGCCCTGAAGGCAGAACTGATGGAGAAAACATCTGCTCGTTTTTCCAACTATAAGGACACGGGTGAGTCATCTTATACAACAGCAACCAGGGGTAGGTTCACATCACCTGATGGGCAAATTTCGTCCAAATCAGCTACAGATCAGGTTCAACTATTGCGTTCCTTAGTTTTCTAGTGGTTCTTTTTGCTAAAAAAGAATATGTGAACCTTATAACTTATGAATATAGGCATGTAAAGGACCTTGCACTATTTATTGAAGCCGAGTAGTCAGAGTACATCCCAAAGAAATCCATCAGTTGCTCTCCATTAGGAGCAGTGAAATGCATGCTTCTGATGGCATGTGGACATGTATAAAGAATGGAAAATATAAGGGCAATCTTACACAAGTATGATCTTGCTACACATTTATGAAAATATATTTTTATAATCCATATTTATTTTTTTGAATATTTTCACTTCGCTAATCAATTGCTTTGATTTTTTTCTTTTGCCGAAGATCCTATTAGCTTATTTTTGTTAATTGTTTCAATTATGCTTGTACTTCTAGGTTATAGCTGTGAATGATACAAGGAAGAAACGTACTGTAAAACTAGTTCCAAGAACAGACTTACGAGTGATGGCAGAAAATTTTGTAAGATGATTTCTACCGGACATGCTTTTAATGTGAATATATATTTATTAAATCTTACATGGAAACGTATGCAGGTTATATATATATTTTTAGCAACAAATTCACAGACTTTTGAACTTATGAAAACTGTCTCCCAGAGCATCTCCTTCATCATCAAGTCCGAAACAAATTTCTGCTCTTCCTTTGCATACTGCTTATCTTCCATATCTTAGTAATGGTGACACAACATGCTCTTAACTTAAAGTTTTGTTATTTCAGTTTTTCCTAGACTCTCCTGTGGGCTTTGCTATTTTACTATTATCTATCTAATCTTCTCTGCTATTTATCCTACTTTGTATGTTGTTTGAGAAAGTGAATGGAATCAGATGCTTCTATGTAAAATGTTTAAAACAAAATTTGAACTTTACTATGTTTCATGAACAAGTATCTTTAGTTGAAAAAAAAGATACAATCTAATTTCTAAAATAGTGTACAAAGAACTGTAAGGTGGAAATCACGAACAACCTTCTAGATTTTCTTTGGAATTATCTTGCTTGGTCGTGAACCAAAACAAGAAAAATCTCTTTGAAAACTGACTAGCTGAGGATAAACTGGAATGTAGTGAGGAACTTGGAGACCTTCTCAAGGTTAGATTTCCTGTTAAATCTAGAAATATGTTTAGCATTGCTTGTTTTCATTGTTAAATTTTTATTTACCTTTTACCTTCTATGTTGTATCATGAACATGCTTTCTTCGGTTTTCTTTCAATTTTTTTTTTAATTTTTTTATATATATTATTTTTTTTGTTGTAAGCTGTGGACAATGACCTTGTACTAAAAATATATAACAAACCTAGAACTATTCCAAAAGTTGTTACAGCTTTTACTGAGCATAGGAAGTTCGATAAAATTTTCATATACTCCAAGCATGTTACTTGCCCGATCAATATGATATTCTTGCTTTCCTTTATTTATTTCAACATAATTAGCACATTACACTATCTAACAAATCAATCAGTTCACAATGAAATACCATTCTTGTTTCTCAATCTTATAGTCATTTCAAATGAACAAATATGTTTATGTTGGTACAGGTTGGATATACACCAGACTATCTGTTATTGTTGTGAACTATTCTCCGATGAGATCCTCAGTTATGCTTGAAATACAACTTACCTTCTGGTCTTTTTAGTAATTCTCCTTTATTCAAATGTCATATAACATTGTATCCTTTGCCTATTTGCATCACTTCTCTGTTAAGTACTCGGTTCAAGTTTGCCTTTCCCTACTTCTCTTTTATATGGGTAAGGGAGGTGGAGAGGGCGTGTGATAGGTTCAAAATATCGGAATGACCGCTCCTTAATGTTCGGTGAGTAGTAAAGAAAAGGAAAATGT